TCATCGATCAAAAGAGACGGATGTTCTCAAGAATGCTGTTAATGTGTGAAGACATGTACGTAGTGCAGGCGTCGAGTGGCCAGTGTGTGTCGCAGAAGCGGCCGGTCCCTGTCTCGGCCGAAGCTCCGGTTGAAGCCTGGCGCAGCTTCTGTGAGTCTGTTTGAACCTTACAATCTTATGTGGACGCTGTGGGCAACGAGGGATTCTAAGGCTTTAGGCACCGTGGTCTCGCCAGTGTAAACCGAACGGTTACAATAAGACTCTGCAGAACATGCTGCGACTACGGCATTGTGGGCATCTTAACAAAACCGAACAAATCCCAGGTGTGCTCCGAAAGAATTACCAACAGCCGGGGGTCTGTTTGAAAGTTACTGCAAAAATGCCGAGCTTCCCTCATGAGACTCACCTCATTCGGTTATTCTTGATGTGGCGGAGTGGCTGAGATCCATGTCCATGAGTGTAGGCGTGGGCAACGAGGTCAAGGGCAGCGAAGACTGCGCGGAGGGCCTTACGGATGGTCATGTGACTTCACCTGCGACTAAGCTGCTGACTAGCAGACCTCACTGCCGGCATGTCAGATCTCCGTCCACAGCGATGAGAACCCGACGATCCAAGGATGCGCCGGCGTGGTCTGCTTCGGCTGGTATGAATGCCTTGTTGCGGAGGTTTGAATGTTGAAACAAGAGCACAGCCTTCAGAAGACTGTTGAACAAAATGACGTTTATGTTGCTATACCAACTGCGAAGCTCGAGTCATTCAGGAGCCGGAACGAAAAGGAGATGCCCTATGCAGACAGCAGCATGCTGGGGACACAACGACATTCAGCCCAAGGGACTACTGTCACTGTCCGGTAAGTCTTCGAAGTCCTCAGCCTGAGCCGGAGCGAAGAGCGAGGCTTAGAACTCAGTGAGACCTCGCTCGGCTCGGACCTCGTTGCGCGGGGCCCGTGGTGACGCTTCCGATGCGCTGCCCTGGCCTTCCTGGTCCTCCTGCGATGCACGGCCGCCGCACTTCAGACAACAGACAAGTGCAGTGTCGTGATGCTCGCGCAGTGTCAGACCGCTCCGTCTCCGAGAGCTGCGTCTCATCCGGCTCCTCCTCCTCTTCGTCCTTTTGCTAAGAGGAAAGTTTGTGTACCCAAGAGCTCTTGTACCGAAGAAAGGCTTGATGATTGCACGACCAACTCCAGCAATCTTTCAGACCCGGCTACTTCACGAACATCTCACACCAGGACATGCTTTCGGGTTTGGGCGTGGTTCCTTTCAGCTGCGTAGGCGTAGGTTAGACCATCATGTGGAAGACGTTTTGAGACCCTGGTGTTCCTCGTCATCGTCTCCCTCATCGGGTGAGTCCTCCTCGACGTCGTCTGCATCCTCCTCCTGCGATACGGGGAAGAAACGGCTTTCTACCGGTGTGCTCATTCCGGGGTGGTGAATGTTGGGGACTGGCTTTTATGCCGTCTCCAGCTTCGCATGTTGAATGGCTCCGTCCTCGTCTGCCTCGGGCTCTTGGCCTCGACCGAACATCCAAGCACGAGCCCGCCTTCGATGCAAAGAAAAGGCCCAAGGCCCCTACCCACAAAGCCAGGACCACTGTCTTCCCAAGGACCATCGGTACCTGCCAGCATCAAGGCTTTGTGTCCTGAGCTGACCTTCGGCAACATCTTTGCCTGGATGAGGTCTCCAAGGCAGCTCCTGCCGGTCCGAGAGAAGGAAGGCAGTCTGCCGCCGTTAAGGAGCCATCAAGACTTCGACCACTCGTACAGAGCTCCCCTCCGTCATCACTCCTGGAAGACACGGAAGTTCAGCACTCGGAAGTCGAAGTCAGCGAAGGATCCTGCTGAGGAATCCAGGCTCTCCAGGCACGCGAAGCCGTTATAGCCATAGCTCCCCGTCTAGCCCTTTTCGACAGCACCCAGCACTTCCCAGCACTGCTAATTGTAGCCTGAAAGGCTGTGACTTTGACCTGTCAGCTGGGTGGTCCTCCACCAGGGCTGAAGATGACCTCCTTGTCCACCCAGCCTTGATGATCTCTCGCCGAGACAGCTTATTGTCGCCTAACTTCAACTGCTATTCAACCATTTCGTTTTCCCTCAAAGCCAGCAAAAGAACAAAATGCCCAACCCGTCACATCACAGTGGCGCATCGTTTGAAGCGAGTGCGTGGGGTCTCGGACTTTCACCCTCCAAGCGAGGCTGCTGGGATGGAAGGAGTCATCACTAATACAGTTGCCGCCAAGCCACGACCTAGGTGCATCTTGAGATGCCAGCGCCGCGGTAAAGGCCTTCAGGTGGATGATAGTGATGGGGTGATTTCTGCCCATGTCTGTCAACCTCTATTTTTCAGTGCGAAGCATCAAGCCGTCAAGCCTTTGTGGCTGCACTTGTCCCGGGTTAGTTGTCTAAACCTTCCCCACCAGACGAACTACCTGAGTTCGATCGTTGTCAATGCCCACGGGTTCCTCCTATGATCGACGTGCACCCTCGTGGTGAATGAGGTTTGAACTCTGACATCTTTACAGCCGACTTTCTGGAGGCGTCACCTCGTGATTCCCGTACTGCTGCACTCACATCAGACAGCATTATGGGCTTGGGCGGCTTGGGCCTACCCATCTCATCACGCCCAGCATCCCAACATAGCTCCTGCCGCGCATCAACTGGATGCTGATCTAGGCATCCAAATTCCAGTTCGTGTAATAATCAGCTTGGGAGAGAGTGCGAGTATGCGTCCGCATGGGCTGAGAGTGGGAGTGCGTTTGCAGCACATTCAAAAGCAACAATAGTCCTCCGGAAGAATGCGGCAGCGCTGACGGTCTTTCAGCGCGAAGACGTATCGGGCCTATGCACAAAGATGGCAATTAGCTCGCTGTAAACTTGAACTGCCCATTATCGGCCGTGCATACACGATGGTCTTGCGCCACGGCCTTCCAGCTCTCCTCCTCCGAGCGTGCACAGCTGTCACCTCGGCTGCAGGCTGCAGGAACACTCACACGCTCTGGTTGGCAAAGACCGTGAAGGCGGGCCACTGCTTGCCTTTTCCGGGCCAGATTCAGCTAGCCACGACCTGCTAAGGACTGTCTGCCACAGCGTGCGCAGAAAGAGCAGCTTGCAGATTCTTGCGGGGGTACGAAACAGCTGCCCACCTCATCCTTGCCGAATGCTGTTTGCTGGCCCAAGTTCGGACACAGGCCTTGTGCCATACCGCCTTCATGGCAGCCGCAATGCAGAGTTCCCGATCAGTTTGGGGAGATTTTCCACGTCCTACTAGCACCAGCTTCATACTTCGCGAGTAGATGTGTGCACTCCTGCTGTTGTCGTTCTGGTCACCGCGGGAAGGTCGACAGCTTTGCTTAAGCTACCAGAAACAAAAGCTACTAAAGCTGCTTGCAAAGCCGAACGAGACCGCGAAACATGGAAATCTTGTGCAAGTGGCCGCTGAGCAGACGAGCGGTTCTACCGTTAGATACAGAGCCGCACGGAAAGGAAGCGCTTCAGATACTGGCACAGCTTCAAAGTGCGGAGGTGCCCAAAGCCGGTGAATCGCTGCTGTTGCCCCAGGTGGTTGCATTCGAGTTGTGATGTTGTTTGACCATGCCGTTCCGTTTTCTCATTGTTCGGCCGTCATGTGCCAATCTACTGACCCTGGCCGTCCTCTGAGTCTGCAAGGAGACGGCATGAGCTGCAAGCTCCAGCCCTGAGTTGGAACGGTTGCACCAACGGGCCAACCGGCTCCGTGCTATGGGCTTACAGCGAGCCAACCATCACCAAGCAGCAGGATCCCAAGGACAGAAGGCTGCAAGAAGTCCAGAACCTCATGAGCTCGCTGCTCCAAAAACCGTGCCACGTAGAGCAGATAACTGCGCCACACGAGCCACTAAGCTCTCAGGCCCCACGGCTGACAAGTGTTCTCTCCTATTGTCCTATAGACGCCATGCACCAGTCGCCTTTCAAAGCCTGTGGGAGCACACTTTCGCTTGTGAGCTTCCCTGACTGTCGTCACGTCCCATTCTGCCCGATTGCGACCTGCGAACCCAAGAATTACCCGGACGCTGATGAAGCCCAGTTGCCGTTGTTGTGACCTCCGGAGACGGCAGTAAGGCGAGCAAGTCTTCGCTGGACGTGCTCCTCGCAACGGCCGGCCTGCAACGAGACAGAGCCAGAAATCTCGTATCTGCATATCGCCAAGCCTTGGAGCTGCAACCTGTTCGGTATTATGGTATTAGTTGGAAGAACCGTCAATTCGGTCAGTCTTCGAGTCTCTATCTAAGTCGAATAACCTCCCTTCTAGCATCGTACACGCGTGCATAGCATGCGCAACGATGACACCTTAGCCAGGTACTTATGGGCCACAACTGCAAGCCTGCAGCCTGCAGCCGCACTGCAGAAAAGCTTCTGCCTCTCTTCCCTGCGGCCCAGGGCCAAGGCTGCAAGGCCCTGGAAACATTGAGGCAGGTAGCCGCTTGCCTCTGCAGTCAGCGAGTGCGCTTCAAGCGGATGCCAGCGACTAAAGGCGGCCAAAGGCGAGTGCGCGCCGACGACAAATCGAGGACCGGGCCGCGGAGCCATCCTCCGTCATGGCACGTCGGCCGTCTAATCGGCCATTCTCCATAAGGGGCCGTTGTGAAACGTTACCCACATCTAGGTTCAAGCCCTCTTTACGACTCTACGACTTGTGGGCACGGATCTGGTCGTGGTTCGCGACTTCTGTGGAACTGCGTCTGGACGAGTCTAGAATACCTCCTTCCGAAGATTGCTGGGACTGCCCTGCTTTCTCCTCAGTTTCGGGGCCTGACCTGGATCCCAGGGCTGTGCCAGTTCAGGCTTTCACCCGGGATTTGTCCACTCCTGGAGCCCCACGAGACACAAGCAGAACCTCAGAAGGCGCAACACTGCGAGGCAGACTGCAGAGTCGGTGAAAGGCTATCTCAACCAGCGGGGGTCTATCCACATGAACCTTATCGCGAGCCAGGACCTGCTCTGAAGTCTTCAACCAATCTCTGGCCTGGAGCTGTCTGACAGATCGTGGTGATGCAAACAGATCGTGAAGACCTGAGCCAGCGAGCGACGTCGCTGACCCTCGGAAGCCACTGTCCTTGGCAACCTTGACCTTGCCCCTTTGTACCTAAAAAATTGTCTCGATGGCATAACAGGAGCACAGAAGCCTTCAACGTATCAACCGTGTCAACGAGCACGAGAGAGCTTGAGCTGCTCGGGGAAATGATGCTCAAATGCCATAGCAATACGTGCATCTTCGAGCACCCGTCTGAGAACCTGGACGCAGTGAGACCGGGATGATCTTTCGTTCATGCTTGTTGTTGTCGTAGTACGCTGAGAGAAACCTGCGCATCGACACACGCGTCAGTCAACTAGCAAACCGTACCAATCTGTCATAGCACCCTCGGCGCAATCCGTCAGATGCATTCAACACGCAGACAATCCCGCCGCACCTTCGCGTATCAGGCGATTCATCTGATCAGAAGTTTCCACCACCTGCAGGTAACAAATGGCTACATAACCCAGGGCTCCGACAAGCACTACCTCAGGCACGTAATGCTACTCGAGCACATGCAGTCGCTCCTTTTTCATGCTTTCGTCATTTGAATGCCTCGTGTCTTCTTGAGTTGTTGCGCTTGGCTGCTGGCAGAGCTAATAACCAGCTGATTGTCTAGTCAAACAGCTCGTGATCTTGCTGTCGATGCCAAGCGTCGGCCACGTTCACCACCAGCCATATTATGTTGTAGGAGGACATGCTTGATGGTGCCGTCAATAGCTGCTGTCCTTCTGCATCTTGCCAACTTGTCTGCAATCCGGAAGCATCTTGAAGACATGCGATTTGCAGGTGTTACAAATCCCCTTTGCCGCACACATTCAGAGACAGTAGAGCATCCCACCATGCCATGGCAACACCAATGGATAAGGTGCACCTGCAGCTGGCTCACAGATTTGCAGTGTACATCTGTGCTGAATCCCTGGGTCCCCTGCTTATTCGTCATGGAGGAGGTGGCATCCGAGACCATGGTCGTTCATTGCAGTGTTCACAAATAGCCTCCTGACATGCGCAGACCCTTTGATCAAGTCCGAAGTCACATGCTGAAGGCTTCGACTCCCCCGGCATGCCGGTATGTTTATCTGGCTGAACTGGCAGGACTGCGGCATGGGTGCGGCACCAACGACGTCTTCCATTTCTCTGCGTAGGTTCAGCTTGCATGCTGGCTTGCTGAGGGTATCAGCTACCCACAAGGCTTGCATATGTTCCAAGGTTGCCCCTCTGTTTCGGTCTCTCGCTACACTCTCTCTTCTTCATCAGGACATGCAGGCTGTGGTAGCCCCGGGCACCACTCTTCTTTCTGCCGGGCTTAGGGCGCATGACCCGCAGGCACTTGGTCCGCCCGACCACTTCTGGTTCCGGCCACCTCTCTCTTGCTTGCTTGCTTGCTACCGGGCGTGAAGAAGCTGCAGCGTCCAGGCAGCTTCTCCGTGCGCGAATGCACCCCCGCTTGGTTTAGCGGGGAGTCCATTCCCCCTTAGCAGTTTGCGCTAAGAGGCTCGGCTATACAGGAGCATGTATCCCCCGCCAGAGCTTTTCGAACGACAAGTACCAACAGCAAACAGCTTAGACTACCATACAAATGCCCCCACTCTGGACGTGGTTTTGTGTGAGCAAAGGACTCAGGCACTCTACAGGCACCAGTATGCATGGGCGTGAAAATTGAGGGGTTCCCCCAGGTTCATTCGAAGAAAGTGTATTGGACTCTGAAACACCTAGGATCGCCCATGTTTGGGGTTTAGGGTTTAGCATGTTGTCCTCTCTCTCTCAGGTTCGCATTATATTCGGCACGGCCCCGTTAACCAAACTGCTTCCATTCCCTTTCAAACCTAATGATAGGAGATGCTCTGTCAATCTCTCTTTCTTTCAATCTCTCTCTCCCTCTCTCTTTGTGCCAACACTAATTCATTGTAGCTACGACTCGCTGGGGTCTTCCTGGGAGAAGCTCGCTACCCACGTGTGCTCCTCCTGCGTTTTGTTGCTGGGACTGGAACAGAGGGCCGGCTGTGGAAGTTGTGCGGCATTGTGCAGCCTAAGCGGCGTAAGCTGCGGTCGCTGCCCTCAACCTCTTGGCACGGCTGCCGTCCTGCATATTATAATCGGAGGCAACTAGATCTGTTAAGTTGCTGCGTCACAACAGTCGCCGTGTGATGATTCCCTGTCCTCATCACCCAAGGTCTTCCCGAGGCGCTTATAAGCTGCGTGCACATCTGGGGCCGGGGTGCCTGGCACTTGCGGGGGTGCTCCCATTCGGTCCATCATGGGACACCGTGTGCCTGGCCGCAGGCCCAGAAGGTCGTAGTGCCGCTCCAATGCGAGAGGTAAGTCCTTCGCGGCACCCAGAGCCTTGATTGCAGTATGTGGCTGCACAAGCTCAAGCACGAAATCCCCAGCAGGTTTGTCTTGCAGGTGCTTGGCCTGCTCACTTCCCAGTGGGCTTCTTCGGGAATGATGCCTCCGGATGGAAACTTCGCAGCTCTCTCTGTCATAGGTCATGTTCTTCATCACATGCAGCGCAGATTTTCTTCGGACTGCTCAAGCCCCAGGTTTGTAATTCGTGCTGCAGGCGCTCACTGTTTTGAGCAACACTGAGCCGACCTCACGAAACGGCCGGCTGCCGCTGCCTGGGAAGATAGGGCCAATGCAAAACGAATCATTACCTTCGCATAGCTCGCACACAACACACCAAGCTATCTGGAGCTCCAAGGGACAAGTGTGCCTAACAACTTAAAAATTGCAGTTTGGAGGCATCGACATGGAGCGTGGCTGCCGGGGCCCGGGGCCGAACTTCGGCCTCGGTTGCTGAGCAGACCTCTTCCAGGCAGTTTCTTGCAATGCAGGCAGGGAACGTCTGGTGGACTGGAGGTCTTCAGGACTTCCTCGCCATGATGTGAGATTCAACCCGCGGGTAGGCAGGGCAAGAAGCAAAATTGCGGGACTCACTTGTCTGACATCAAACATCCCCTGATAGGGAACTATGCACCGGCATGAACGATGATGACAGTGACGGTGGTGACTTCTAGTATTGAGCTATATGACATATGGCTAGAGAAAGGTCGCTTGCGCATTGCACTGCCACCGTTGTCTACATGCTTTTTCTTGCTATGTTTACTCTCCACTTTTGATCATGACTACGGACCGTTTCAAGATTAAGCTGCTTGCTGTGATTACCGACACTATAGGTCCCACATCATCGTTCACCAAGCAGTAAGGTAACACCGTGTACCAGAGGCGACTGCTTCAGAAAGCGCAAAACAGGTAGCAAACGCGAATGGCAACGGCCCAAGTTGGCAAACTGCAATACCCCTTCTAGGAGGTCATGTTGATGCCACACCAAAGGGCCCGACAGGCGGAAGACGTTACTTTGGAGTTGAAGACCAACATGAGAGCCGTGCTGCGAGCTGCCAGGCTGAGATTTAATTAGGATGAACGGCAAACGCTCCCGCAAGTCCCTCCCTTCGCGCAACATAACACTCTGGCATTGCAAATTGCAAGTTGGTCACCATTTGGGACCTCCCTCTCTCTCATCTCACATCTTGCTGTGGTGCACTTTGGCCCGGTGGCATAGTTCCGATTATTACTTGTATGATTGCGATTGGGATTGAGGCACAATGATACTTGTACCTGCTGGTCGCAGTCCATAGAAGAGTAGTATAGATAGCAGTAGCAAGAATAGTAGCCGGCATGGTAGTTGATGTCTTTATTGGAAACTGTAACGGCCCCTATTCAACTAATACTATACTGGCTAATGACTACACTACTACTACTACTACTACCACTACTACCACTACTACTACTACTACTACTACTAGTACTACTACTACTACTACTACTACTACTACTACTACTACTACTACTACTACTACTACTACTAGTACTACTAGTACTACTAGTACTACTAGTACTAGTACTAGTACTAGTACTACTACTACTACTACTACTACTACTACTACTACGGCTGCGACTACGGCTGCGACTACGACTACGACTACGACTGCTACTACGACTGCTACTGCTACTGCTACTGCTACTGCTACTACTACTACTACTACTACTACTACTACTACTACTACTACTACTACTACTACTACTACTACTACTACCACGACTACGACTACTACTACGACTGCTACTGCTACTGCTACTGCTGCTGCTGCTACTACTACTACTACTACGACTACGACTACGACTACGACTACTACTACGACTGCTACTGCTACTGCTACTGCTACTGCTACTGCTACTGCTACTGCTACTGCTACTACTACTACTACTACTACTACTACTACTACTACTCTACTTTTGGCTCCCACTTGTCACCCGCCCTGCAGGTACTGCTACTGCTACTTCTACTACTACTACTACTGCTGCTGCTCGTGCTGCTACTGCTACTATTCTTACGACTACTTCCACTAGTGTTACAATAACAATACTATTACTACAGTGTGCCGGCAAACGAGAGCCAATGTTTGACCAAGTTTGTACGGCAAACTTGCCCATCTTGGTTGTTTTGTGGGGAGAGGGGGCAAAATGGTCACGCAAGCTTGCCGGGAACCACTTGCACCACTTGGGGAGGCGGAGGGACCAATTGGGGACCAAGATGGGCAAGCTTAGCAAAGTCTTGGTCACAAACAGCGGCCCTCAATTCCCGGCACAATGTACTACTACTACTACTACTACTACTACCACTACTACTACTACTACTACTACTACTACTACTACTACTACTACTACGACTACGACTACGACTACGACTACGACTACGACTCCGACTACGACTACGACTACGACTACGACTACTACTACTGCTGCTACTTCTACTTCTACTTCTACTTCTACTTCTACTACTACTACTACTACTATAATTACTACTACTACTACTGCTACTACTACTACTACTACTACTACTAATCATCCTGCTACTCCTCCTGCGCCTAATCCTGCTCCTGCTGCTCCTGCTGCTCCTGCTCCTGCTCTTACTCCTACTCGTCCTCCTGCGGATGCTGCTCTGGCTGCTGCTGCTACTACACACCACCACCACCACCATCACCACCACCACCGTCACCACCACCAACAACAACAACAACAATCACCACGACCACTTAACAACAACAACAGCAACAACCACAACAACCGCAACCACAATGACAACAACAACAACAACCACCAAAACAAACCGCCAACAACAAACAACCCACAACCCTCAGCCCACAAGCAACAAGCAACAAGCAACACCCAACAACCACAACAACCACAACGACAACAACAACAACAGCAACAGCAACAGCAACAACAACAACAACAACAGCACCAGCTGCAGCAGCAACAACAACATCAGCAACCACGACGACCACAACAACAACAGCAACAAGAACAAGAACGATAACAAGAACAATAACAACAAGAACAACAACAGCAGCAGCAGCAGCAACAACAACAACAA